TTTTTTTTTTGCTCAAAAGTGCAGTGCTGTATGCTCTAAGAAAAAATGAGAGTGCTTTGTGATTCCCAGTCGAGTTAAGCAAAATTACACTTTTTTTTTGTAGGAGATGCCCATGAACATGTACAATGACCTTCCATCTCGACAGATGCCACCATCCTTAGTTGATTCGGCTTTCAATCGGTGAGTTGGAGTTTCGGTTATTCTACGACTGCGGCATTGTTTGAGGAATGAAATGGAGATTTTTGCAAAGTTCTCATAGCGCGTAATGTAGGCGCTGTGATGAGCTTGGAGCTTCTCGTTATGGTGAAGAGCCATTTGGAGTAGGACGTTATGGAGGAGGCAGAGATGCACCAATTCGGGATATCAGTGGTTTTGTGGAGCCAATTGATGAATTCATTGATAGGTACTATACCGTTTTTGCTGATTTAGATAATTGAATTTGTTCGCTTATGAATGATTTTCTCAATGCGCAAGGTAATTCCGATCGCGATTTCTTCTAATTTCCGCACTTTCAGCCCTCGCAAAAACGCATATCCACAGTCTTCCCATGCTGAAAGAATTACATATCCAACAATGGCTGGAGGTTCAGGAAGGAATAATGCACCAATACCACCGGTACGCTAATCATTTATCGGAATGACATGGCAAGCTTCTGCCTATTGAGTAACATGAATTTATTTCGTATTTAAGTTTGGGCAGTCTTATTCGGCTTTTAATGAGCCTTACGGGCAGAGAATGGATTATGGAGGTGGAGCAAGGTTAGTTTCTATAGTATCACATGCAAAAGAGAAATGAATCAGAAAATTTCTTGATTTGATCTTGTACAGGTTTCGAGTTTAAAAACTTCTGAGAACAATTACTAGATGTTTTTAACTTTGTTTTTCAGACCTCGAAGCGTCAGTCCTTACGGAAGGCCTTTCTATAGATAGTGGGTCAGAACTTAAGCTTATACTGGCTTCAATACTTTTGTTGTGTTCATCATTGTCTGTCGTTGATTATTCGTCCTCATTCGTATTCTCTTTAATTCATTCAGATATTCTGTATCTGCCTCATCTTGTGAGTGTTTGTTGTTCCCATTTAATTATTTATTCAATTAATATCTACAATACAACATGTGTAAAGGCATTTCTTCTCAAAAATTATGTACAACACTGATGTGTGAACTGTAATGTGAAGCGGATAACTGAAAGTTAATAAATTGAGAAGCAATCGTCCTATGCGTTGCTACGAATCACAGATGAAACAATTTACAATACAAACAAACAACAAATAAATGCACAGCGCAAAAAACACAATGCAATAATGGTGAATAGAAACCCATACCACATCCATCAAGGATGTTAAAATTTTCTCAGAAAAAGCGCAGACAACATGGAATCGAAGCTCTCCAGCGCTATTAAAGTCTATTGCCTCATGGGCGTAATATTGAGAGCTGAAAAGTACGGAGAGCAAATCGACAATGAAATGACATATATATGTTGTCGTTGTATGTATGTGTGTGTCATGCAGTTACCCGTGTGGTATGGCGCAGAGGTGCTACGGCTACGGTAGAATCTCGCCCTCGTTGAACGAGACAGCTTCGAAAATCTGTATACTCCTACAGATGGGATTGCCGCACTCTCGCATATCCATCAGCGAGAGCGATGTTGGATGCAAGTCGCACACCAGCTGAACTCGTCCAATACATTCATAACCACATCTAAAATGGTGGAAGGTAATTGCGCATGAGATGGTTGAAGGTAAAGTCTTGTGTTGGTTTCAATAACGTCAAGTCTAACTAAGCATTCCTTCAAACCTCTGAGGAGCTCGTTCATTCCGTTCACAAATTGTCACAAAAATTTCTCAAGAAATGGCAAAGAACTGTTGACTCATCATGATACGTTTCGACAATTTTAAGAATAAACGAATCTTGAGAGGTAAAGGAGAAGTGGACAGCAAGCATTCTTTTCTCTCTCTCACCCGTTTTTCTCGCTGTATATGATGTGTTTACAGAGACTGTTTTCGTCAATTCTTTCTTAAGCGCAAAAAAAAAAACAGCAGAAAAGTAAGACGGAAGTCGAAGAGCATATCGGAAAAGTAATCAGCAAGTAGAAAACTTGGCTATTTAAACAGAGTGAGAACCCATAGTGAGTCAGTTGTGGAAGTTATGATTCCGTTACAAATATCAACATGAAAATTTTTTTAAGCTATTTTATGCTTAGCTGAAGAAATGTGTCTAGGAGACAATATTTTAGATATCTAGTTGCATAATTTGACAGTATTTCGACAAATACAGATATTTGACTTGTATATTCGTATGAATAATGAAATTTTCGTTGTCTCCCTTCTTAGATTGTCCGCACATAAAATTCAAAAGCACCTGGACTCTTGGATATATAAGTTGACCTCGCTAGAATCCGCGAGGTTCTCAATACAGTCGCCACTGCCACAGTATCAATAGCATTAAGAGCATATAGCTGACTTTTAGATAATTTTTGTACAAATATCACTATCATCCAGGATTTTTCGTCTATTGTAAAAGTTAAAGGTCTTTGAACTTTAGGATTTTATGGAAAATCCTTGTAATCAAGATAGATTAACACATCATGATTAAGATAGAACTTAGGATTTATCAATCAAGACTTTTTAAATTTATCTATCGGTCGAGTACTTGCAAACCTTATTTATAAATCTAATGGTTAAGAAGTGGGTCGGCAAATTGTTGAATTGTGAAATATGTCTATCACATATTGAAAAGTTCAGTGAAATTTAATTGCGATAGAATAGGTTTACGCAAACGGTTAAAGGTAGTGATTATGTGTCATTGAATGCAAAAAATGAAGTGATGTGTGTGGGAGTTAACGTGTATGGTGGAATTGCCCTAGAAACGAGTTAGCGAAAATACAAAGTTTTTATTTCTGCCGTTATCGATCGTGCATCTGTAAAAATAACAAGGCTGCAGCATTTCCTTTTCGCAAAGCATCTAACGAGGACAGATCATATTTGTTGCAAACCCCAGCTTTGTTAGCAAACTGAAGTGCGAGGATCTCTTTCACACAAAAACTCATCCTATGAGGACTCCTCGACATGCTACTGCAAAGCAAATATCCGG